GTCCGTGGAAACCATGGAATTATACCTCTTAAGCATTTCTGCTTCAGTTGTGTTCTTAAGCATTTATGCTTCACTAACTATCAACATCTCGGTCAGGTCAGTTAGGGACATATCGAGATTCCTCATATGAAAGTTCTCAACAAACTGGCCATATCACTTAGGAAGCAAGATAAGAACCAAATCAATGGCTTGCTCCTTCGGGAATTCAAAACCCATTCTTTCCAGATTGTCAATGTGCGATTTCATTTTTAGAACATGCACACACACATAATTCCATCTTCGTATTTACATGCGAATAGAGCTTGAGTAGTATCATATCTTTCAACTTGAGGAAAATGTGACGTTGGGACAGTCACATGAGGAGGAGGTGGAAGAGTTAAAGATGGACGATGTCCAGTTCTAACATTACCCAAATAAGGGAATACATTTTCACCTTGATCAGAATGTGGAAGATCATCTCCAGATCATTGAGGAAAAACATTTCCATAAGAACGAGGAAGACCATTGTTATCTTGATTTGACATCTAAAAATGGTAGAGAATTCAAGTTAGTTGATTTTAATCCTTAATTATTAACCCAAAAAATTTAAATTAAGGCTAGGATCCATATTTTCATTTCGTTATATGAAGGGGGATGCCGTATTCATATCACGAAACTATTTTAGGTATGTAGAACCATTTCACCAATTTAACTCACATGAAACTCCTAGATTTTATGAGATTTTCGTTGAAACACATGTTTAATCTCGGATTATACTCTTACCAGTTGTGACTAGGATGCCGATGATCATAATTAAGATGTGAATAACCATGCAAACCCACTCAAACACCCTTGATCAAATTATAATCTCCCATTGATGTGAACGTTAACCACACACGCTCCATCAACAATTACAAACACAAGTTGTTTCATCATTTCATTTTTATAATCCCACATTAGTGTGTCGGTTAACCATGCACGCTCCACTAATGACTCGTAAAGAAACAATGTGCGTTTTTCATGGATTAGCATACAACTTCACATTTTTCCTAAAGTAAATAAGGTGGGATTTTAGGAGGTTCTAGTACTTTATAACATTATACTTTTAATGTGATTATGACCTATCGAACCTATTTGGCTAACGATCCTCCACCATACAAAGAAGCAGTGGGTGAAAAGGACACTCATTTAACAGTCATTTTATAGGTCGTTTCCTTATATCTCTCTTAGAGTGTGGCTTCGAGAATGTGGTATACTATTGATTTGACTAACTTTTCTTATACATATAGTATTAAACGTTTAATAAATATATATAAGGTGTATTTTAAAACTTTTTAAAACACAAGGTGTAAATATTATTTATCTAAATTAATTAATCAATTTAAACCTATCATGGATTTATAATTATCCTTTGATTTATCTTATAATTAATTTTATTATTAAATCCAAAAGGATAATTCAATTTAATTAATCTTATAATTAAATATTATTATATTCAAGATTACCTTATAATATTTAGGGTTTTCTTTTTAATTATCTAAGGAATTCAAAATTCAGATTTTGGCAAAATTAAAACCAGATAATCATCAAAAATAACTACACAAAATCAGATTAGGCAGAAAATCCCGAAATTCAGATTTGTACTAAAGTCACGTCGTGACACGCTGTCTATCACATCGTGACAGGCAATTTTTTTTGAATTTTTTTATTTTGTTCAATTCATCTCATGTATAATCAATGTGAGACACATCAAGGATCTGATACCATTGATGGGTTTTATAGGTTACAAAATCAATATGCTTGCGGAATTTCACTTAACACTTAAGGGCACATACAACATAAATGATCTATGTCATAACACTTTGAAAGTAACATACAATGAACAAAAAAACTAACATGAACCTTAATGAAACCCTAGTATAATCAAAATTAAAGAATTAGGGTTATATATATATATATATATATATATATATATATATATATATATATATATATATTCTACTATGAATTTTGTATATACAACGATATGACATTATTCATCAACAAATATACGAACAATCACACATTAATATTCACATTAAAATTTTGTATGTACAACTTTATAACATTATTCATCACCGAATATATGAACAATCACATATTTAACATTCACATTAGAATTTACTAAATTACTATATATATATATATATATATATATATATATATATATATATATAATTTTATAGTAGATAGCAATATAAAATTGAATATATTCATATTATAATTACTATAATAGTATACATATTAAATTCATAGTAGAATAGTAACATAAAGTAGTGTTCTCATTTGAACTTAACCCTATATATATATATATATATATATATATATATATATATATATATATATATATGTGTGTGTGTGTGTGTGTGTGTGTGTGTTTATGTGTGTGTGTGTGTGTTAAGGGGGTAAATAACAATTTCCAAAAACAGTTTTAATTACATAAATTGGCTTAAGGGTAGATTTTGTTTATATGTTTAAACCCGAGGGGTCAATTGTGTCAAAAATGGAATGTCTTGACCTGTTATCGGGAGCAGCGATGCATATGCGTATCCAAGTCCTTGCACGATTTAAACATACAAACACTTGAATCTTTGAAAGCTCTTAACCCTTATCATTATTAACTTTCCCTTAGACCATTTGAATCACTTCTCTCTCCCTTTTAGCTACGAAACCCGAGAGAAAAAGACTTAAAAAGGAGTGAGGTCGGCTAGGGTTTTAGTGAGAAAGAAGACACTTCAAACTCGATCGCCGCAACATAAACGAAATTTTTCGAAAAAAATTATACTACTAAATTTTTTTTTAGAGGCATCACGGGTTCCAAGGTAGATCTGCTCATATTTCTTTGTTTTAATTATGTGTAGCTAAGTTTTTATTAGTCACACAATGGAAGTAGTCCATGAAAATTTAGCTTATCTTTGAAGGATTTATGAGCTTTTTTTCTCATTTATGAATGCAATTTCTAATTGAATTTCTAAGGTCCTGTTTGTTATTTTGAAGCAAAAATCAATAAAGTCTGGGGACCACCTCCGCAACCCTTTGCAGAGGTGGACCAAACAGCTGCAGACTGTAATAAAAAGTGTGTTTGTTTTTTTAACATCTGCATGCTGCTGCAGATATTAAAAAATTAAAATAGACCGATTTTATAATCCGAAAATAGTTTTTAATACCTAAAATTTGATAATGTATGACATTTCGGCAAGAATTTATGATATTTCAGCAAAAAATAATGATATTTTAACAAAAAAAAATAAAGATATTTTAGCATAAAATAATGATATTTCATCAACAAATTATTATTAGTGAATATAAAAAAAAGAAAAAAAATTCAACAAGAATAAACAGAAAAAAAAAACGAAAAAATGTGAAATAAGATTTCAGCAATATATAATCAATATTTTAGCTAGAAAAAAAGAAGAAGAAGAGGTTGGAAGAGGTAGGAAGAGGCAAAACAACTGCTGCACCAAGAAGAACACGCGCAGAGGTTTTTTAATCCGGAGACTTCTGAAAAACAAACAGCTACGAGATAAAAATTGATGCGCGTGTGCTGCGCCGCGCAACAATAAGAGGTCTGAAGAGGTTTTTTTCAAAAAACAAACAGCACCTAAGTCATTCTTACGTGTTTATGCATAAGTTTTAATATTCGAATGATAATAGTTAGTCATTTTCTTGAATACTTAATAGATATTCAAAACAATTAGTACCAAATGGTTTTTACGAATGTTTTCATCTAATCAAGTGAAATTACAAAACAAGTTTGGAAAAAATTATAATGAAAGGAAATACAAGTAGCATGATATGAAAGTCTATTTTCAATATTCATTCGGTTAGACGAATGCAATTTTCAAAATGAAGTGAAAGAAGAATCCTTTATAAATCGAAAGAATTTAGTATTTATAGCTGACAAAATGGGTAGGAGTGAACATAAGTCGGTTTTGATCTCAAACTGAACCCAAACCCAATAATATTGGTTTTTAAATATTCAAACCGAACCAATACCTAAACCAATCTATCCGGTTTCTCTGTTTTCACATTTTTCCGGTCCAATTTCGGTTTTAAACTGAAACCAAACCCAAACCTTGAACTAGCTAACAAGCACTCGAGAAATCATTATATAAGAAGGGATAAATGTTTGTTGTATAAGCCGATGTGGGACTCCTCAAAAGTTAAGTGGAAAAGAAAATGAGTAACCCCTTATATAAGTGATGAAAATGGCAGAGCTTTCATATGAGCATCGATGTGGGATGCGTCCCCCGGCACGTAAAATAAAACAAATATGTCGAGAACAAGACTCGAACGGAAGACATTACTCACAAAGGTAACTAAACAAGCTTCAACTTATGATGAAATAACACAGATTTAATTTATAATATATACATAAAATATATTTTTTTAAAAGTTTATAAACAAACCGAACCCAAACCAAAATTTTCGGTTTAAAAAATCAAAACCCAAAATTGATTGTTTGGGTTCAGTTTCAATTTTTGTTGGTTTTCTCGGTTTCAGTTTTGCTCAGCCCTATGAGAAGGTGTCGATTTCTTAACAATGAGTGAAGCTTTCGGAACAAAAAACCGTTATACGAAACTTTCTCATCATGATATGCAAGGGCGGACCTACACTTGGGGGGGGGGGGGGGGGGTGTGTTGGTGTTGTCTGTCCCCACAACAAAAAGAAAACTAATATTTAAATATGTTTTTTCATAAATAATATCTTTTGACCCCTTTAAGATAATATATTTTGTCCCCATAACTTTTTTTTGCCCCCTCTTCAAAAAATTCATGGGTCCATCCTTGAAGAAATGAATACATCTTTGCAATGTTTGTGACTTCTCATCAAGATTCAAGATTTCTTGTGTTGCTTTAATTAGTTTTACAAATTCACTCTCACAGATTCCAAACAATTTCCACTTCATGAAAAGTACACTTTCAAGTTTCAAGAACAAATAATGATACCAATACTAAAAACTGAAAATAAACATTATATATATAAGTATATAATATCACTGAATAAAAACAAGGCCTACAATTACATGATGAGCAATAGTTATGAAAAATTAATCATGTACACGTACTATTTATCATGCAAACATACCTATAATACTTTATTCCTCCCACAAAAAATGGTTAGATAAAATATGATAAAATCAGTTTCCCTCATCATGACGAAGATACATTACAAGTTTGGATCTTACCTCTGGTGGAACACGAATTGGGCGATAGTTTTTATCAAGCCAAACTGCAGTCGCACGTGCCTCCAAAATTGGCTACATCAAAAAATACCACCATTGAAGGGCTTTTCTGTCTTTTAACATCTTAGAATCGAGTTAAATAAACCAAGGATAAAAGAATGTAACCTCTTGATTTGGGATCTTGAAGATGAAATGTTCAAAGTATATACGAGCAGCTGATGAGTCAGATATCCTCGCTCTCACAATAAACCTATCTCCAATCTGTTTTCACCAGAATAACATCAAGAAACTATAAAGGGTATTTGAATTTGAGAATAATTATTAAAAAATATAAAGACATACTCTCAAAGGTCCAAGAAATTTGAGTGATAAGTCTGAAAGAGCTATTGCGTTGCCAGTTTGAGCAACTGTATCGATATTTATTCCAATCTTTTCCATAAGTTCATGCCGAGCTGTTTAACGTTGAAAAGATTGTAGCTTTTTTTTTTTTTGATCTCATTAAATAGTTAATTGAATTATTTGAAGTAAAGACTCACCATGTTGACAATAATTAGCAAAGATGGCATTGTTCACAACTCCATATTGATCCAATTCGTAATCTCTAACCCTGAGTTCAATCTCATGAAATTGACTCATTCTGTAAAGAAGGATTAACAACAAAATTGGATTCAATCCACCGATAGAAAGTTCAGAATCTTTTTCTCCCAACTAGGGCATTCGTATTGAAAATGCCCTAACTTACAACATTTCTAACTTCATAACATCAAATTTCACAGCAAACAGTGGTAATTAAAGAAAAAATTGATTACCCTGTGATTGAAAATTAATCGAGCAAATGTTCTGCGTTTAATATCAGGAAAAACTTATCTGAATTGGACGCCAAATAAAAGGATTGATTTAGTACTCACCCTTTGCCACTTTTGAGATCAAAGGAAAAATTGGTTGAGCTCCGAATAGGCGTTGTGAGTGACCGTAGCAGCGGCTTCCGCCGGTGGTTTGTGCGGCGAAGTAAGTGAACACTTGATGAAGGAAGGTGGAGGCCGTCGGCGGCTGACGTCTTGACACGTGAGGCCGGAATGATCACGTGCCCCGGGGAGAAGACTGCCTGCGACATTTCGCCTTCGTTTCTATCGAAAGATTGGGGATTTCGCCTGTTTAACTGTTTTTCGGCGAACAAATCTATTAATGGTAGTCAAAGACTCAAATATACAAGTACCACCCCTACTCTTTACAAAAACTTATGAATCACCCCTTGTAAAATTAATTGGGTGAATAAATCTATAAAGCCATTTAGTGAATAAATTATTATTATTATTATTATTATTATTATTATTTTGAACGGCTTGAAGATAAAATAGAAAGCTAGCTAGAAGCTAGAAAAGAAAAAAAGAACAATTAGTTCATTAGTGGAGAAAATAGAAATCTAGCTAGAAGCTAGAAAAGAAAAATGGAACAATTAGTTCATCAGTGGATTTTGCATCCACTCATTCCAATTACTACTAGACTTACGATTCCTAAATTGACACCAATTAAAAGACAACGAAAAAATGAAATCAAATAATGAGACTCTCATAACCTCTAAGTTTTCCGAACACAAGCGCGTTCTGATACATCTATAAATGCCATAAAAGAGTAACACGCACCTAGTCTACTATCAATCTATGAAACTGAACCACACTATGTCCATCGATCCAAAGGAAAAACATATATAAGTTCTCAAACTTTGGAATAGTCTTCTCCATCCACCTCCCAATCTGATGCCAAAGTTGTACCTTAAACGAACAACTAAAAACAAATGATTAATGTCTTCAAAATCACTATAACAAGGGCACAACAGAGAATCCAAATCCTCCCCTCGTAATTCCAGGTTGCAGCGAGTGGGTAGCCGAGTCGAAGACGCCAAACAAAAATATTCACCTTGATAGGTAACTTGTTCCATCAACCCCTCATCCTGTTAGCAGGAAACAACTGATGATCTATATGAGCTCTCACC